TCTGAGGCCAGATTTGAACCCAGATCTTCCTGACTTCAGGACTGGCACTCTATCTACTGCACCACCTTGTTGCCCTTCCTATAGTACAGATCTGATAATGTTACCCCCTTCTCCCTCAATTTAATAAACTCCAATGGTTCCCTATTACTTCTAGGATCCAATATAAAATCCTGTTTGGCTTTTAAAGCCCTTCTATCTAAGTTGTCTTTTTACAACTTACTCTCTCCCACATACCCTACAATCCAGTGACACTGGCTTCCCTACACTGCCTTCCTCAAGCAAGCAACTCTGCATTTTTGCTGGCTGTGCTCCCTTCCTGGAATTGACTCCCACGTCATCTCTGCCTTCTGGTTGCCCTGGTTTTCATCAAAGCTTGGGCAGAATCCCACCTTCTGCATGAAAGTTTTCCCAGCCCTGGAGGGGCAGAGCCAAGGTGGCAGAGGGAAAACAGTGACTTGCTTGAGCTCTCCCCCCAAACCCCTCCAAATACCTGTAAAAAATGGCTCTAAACAAATTCTAAAGCAGCAGAACCCACAAAAAGACAGAGTAAAAAAAATTTCCAGCCAAAGATAGCCTGGATGGTTGATCAGAAAGGTATATCGTGCCGGGCAGGGAGAGGAGCAGTTTGGCGTGGGCACGCAGGCCACAGAGACCCTGGAGCAGGCCTCAGAGGACTGAATCGCAGGCAGCTGTGGCAGTTTCCAGACTTCTCAACCCAGGAATGTCAAAGACAACTTAGAAGGTCAGTGGAAAAAGTCTGTGACTGCAGTGAGAGAGGAGCTAGGTCTCAGCCGCAAGTCTTGAGCGTGGCTCCCGGGCCGTGGCTGTTTCCTGAGCCCCTGGCCCTCAGACTGAGGGGGAATCAAGTGGCTGATCACAGGGGGATTGCAGGGATCTCTTTGCCAGTGCTGAGGCAGGAATCTCTTGCTTTAACGGTGCTTGGATCTGGGTCACAGTTCTGAGGGGCGGTCCTGGGGCGAAGAGGAATGCTGGCATGGTGGAGCTTGTTGTGAAGGTGGAGAGAAAACACCCCTTATCACAGCACCTTGGAAGAACTGAAAATTTTCAGATCCCTAGAAGTATCTCTGAAAATAGCTGTACAAACCCCCGAAGCTTGGGACAGTACATTCTCCACATTGGAAGCAGACTTTTACCTTAACAAAGAGTTTAAAATTCAAGTAATTGTCCAGGATCATGAGTAAGCAGCGCAAAAAAGAGTCAGACTATATTATCTTACTTCAGTGACAAAGAAGATCAAAACATACAACCAGAAGAAGAAAACAAAGTCAAAGCTCCTACATCCAAAACTTCCAAGAAAAATATGAATCAGTCCTAGGCCTTGAAAGAGCTCAAAAGGGATTTTGAGAAGCAAGTAAGAGAAGTAGAGGAAAAACTGAGAGTCATGCAAGAAAATCATGAAAAACAAGTCAACAGCTTGCTAAAGGAGACCCAAAAAAATACTGAAGAAAATAACACCTTAAAAAATAGCCTAACCCAAATGGCAAAAGAGGTCCAAAAAGGCAATGAGGAGAAGAATGCCCTAAAAAGTAAAATTGGCCAAATGGAAAAGGAAGTCCAAAAGATTACTGAAGAAAATACTTCCTTAAAAATTAGAATAGAGCAATTGGAAGCTAGTGACTTTATGAGAAATCAAGACACTGTAAAACAAATCCAAAAGAATGAAAAATCAGAAAACAATGTGAAATATCTCATTGGAAAAACAACTGACCTGGAAAACAGATCCAGGAGAGAGAATTTAAAAATTATTGGACTATCTGAAAGCCATGATCAAAAAAAGAGCCTAGACATCATCTTTCAAGAAATTATCAAGGAAAACTGTCCTGATATTTTAGAACCGGAGGGCAAAACAGAAATGGAAAGAATCCACCGATCTCCTCCTGAAGGAGAACCCCAAAGGAAAACTCCTAGGAATATTGTAGCCAAATTCCAGAGTTCCCAGGTCAAGGAGAAAATATTTCAAGCAGCCAGAAAGAAACAATTCAAGTATTGTGGAAACACAATCAGGATAACACAAGATTTAGCTGCTTCTACATTAAGGGACTGCAAGGCATGGAATATAATATTCCAGAGGGCAAAGGAGATAGGATTACAACCAAGAATCACCTACCCAGCAAAACTGAGTATAATCCTGCAGGGGAAAAAATGGTCATTCAGTGAAATAGAGGACTTTCAAGCATTCTTGATGAAAAGACCAGAGCTGAATAGAAAATTTGATCTTCAAATACAAGACTCAAGTGGAACATGAAGAGGTAAACAGGAAAGAGAAAATCATAAGAGACTTATTAAGGTTGAACTGTTTACATTCCTGCATGGAAAGATGATATTTGTAACTCATGAGACCTTTGTCAGTATTAAGGTAGTTGGAGGGGAAAAAATTATATGTTCGTATATATAGATATAGATAGATAGATAGAGGGTACAGGGTGAGTTGAAAATGAAGGGGTCACATCTGGATAATAAAATTAAGGGGTGAGAGAGAATTATACTAGGAGGAGAAAGGGAGAGGTAGAACAGGGTAAATTATCTCACAAAAAAAAAGAAAAGGCTCTTACAGTGGAGGGGAAACGGGGGAAGGTGAGAGGGAATGAGTGAATCTTATTCTCATAGGATTTGACTTAAGGAGGGAATAACATACACACTCAATTGGGTGTGGAAATCTGTCTTACCCTACAGGAAAATAGGGGGGGAAGGGGACAAGAAAGTAGGGGGATGATAGAGAGGAGGGCAGACTGAGAAAGGGGATAATCAGAAGCAAATACTTCTGAGGAAGGACAGGGTCAAATGAAAGAATAGAATAAATGGGGGGAGCGGGAAAGGATTAAGGGAAGTAGAGTTAGTTTTTCACAGCATGTCTACTATGGAAGTGTTTTGCATAACTGCACATATATAACCTATATTCAGTTGCTTGCCTTATCAATGAGGGTGGGTGGGGAGGGAGGAAGGGAGAAAATTTGGAACCCGAAGTTTTAAAAACACGTTTAAAAAAAATGTTTTCACATGCAACTGGGAAATAAGAAATACAGGAAATAGGGTACAGAAATCCATTCTGCCCTACAGGAAAATTGAAGGGGAAGGGGATAAGAGACGGGGGGGAGAGATAGAAGGGAAGGCAGACTAGGGAAGGGGTATTCAGAATGCAGCCATCTTGGGGTGGGGGGGAGGGGCAAGATGGGGTGAAAATTTGGAACTCAAAATCTTGTGGAAGCAAATGTTGAGAACAAGAAAATAAATAAAAATTACCATAAAAAAAAGAGTGAATTGGGTTTAAGACTTGGTCTTTAAGAAAGAAATCTAAGGGGCAGCTAGGTGGCACCCAGGTGGCGCAGTGGACAGAGGTCTGGCCTTGCAGTCAGGGGGACCAGAATTCAAATCTGTACTCAGATACTAGACACTTACTAGCTATGTGACCCTGGGCAAGTCACTTAACCTTGATTGCGTAACCAAAAAAAAAATCTAGCCAGTAAATCCCAAGTTAATTAGGAAGCTTTTGGCCATCAAAATTTACCTTCCTTTGGGCAGAACACCCTCAGGTAAGGGGAAAGCAGAGGAGAGGGGAAAAAAAAAAAAAAAAAAAGAAAGTTTTCCCAGTTCCCCTTAATGCTACTGCTTTTCCTCTGTGAATATTTCCATTTTCTCCCATGTACATCCTATTTGTACATAGTTGCTTGCATGTTGTCACCTCCATTAGACTAGCAGCTCCTTGAGGGCAGGGACTTTTTTGTTTTTCTTTGAATCTCTAGTGCTTAGCACAGTGCCCTTCCCCCACTTCTATAAACAGTGACTTATTGACTTGAGGCCTTGAAGAGAGTGGTACTAGGCAATTCTAAGTGAGGAGGTACTTATACAATATGTTCTTTATCTTTAAAAAGAGATAAAATCATGGACTAGATTTATCAATGAAGGTAAGTGGCTGTGCTCTTCAGAAAAAAAATGGGCTGTGAAAAAAAAATCAGTACTTAAAGCTTACAAATGAAATGGAATGATCAATGAGCAATATTGTGGTCATAAACCAAAGCCAATTTACATACTCTGCACAGAAAATTATAGCGATCAATGATCATTGTAGGGAGCAACTACATCCCCCACGTATCTATCTATCAAATCTATTAGATAACTTTTGGAGAAACAACATTCGGCACAAAAAATGCCTTTTTCTTCACTTTAAAAATTAGGGGATCACTGTTCAAATCAGTTTCTGCTCTCCTTCCAATGGACAGAATACTAACTCTGAAGTCAGGAAGACCAGAGTTCAAATCCAGCTTCAGACCCTTACTAGGTGTGTGATTCTGGGCAAATCATTTAATCTCTGTCTGCCTCAGTTTCCTCATCTGTATAATGGGGATAATAATAGCACCTCCTTCCCAGGTGTTTAGCACAGTGCCTGGTGTATAATAGGCACTTAACGAGTACTTATTCCCTCCCCCTCACCTTTACCTGGACCATAATCATGGGTCCATGCACATGTTCTTATCCTGGGCAATCGCAGTCTCCTTCATGCCCTGAGGAGGTCTTCCTCTGTCTTCCTCACTTTTCACTCTTTAGGGCCCTCTGAGCAGCTCATAGGCTGTCTGTCTCTTCTCAACCATCCCTTGCCCTTGCTGGTCCATGACTGGACCCTTCCTTCTTTTGATCCTACATTTCTGGACATTGTCCTTTCCCTTATACTTCTTGCATGGAGGTCATCCCTAGACATATTCTGAAAGGTCTCGTCTTTGGACCTCCCTCAATTATAATTCCTTGCACAGTGAGGTACTGGGGGATTAGAACATCACTGGGATGACGCTGCTGCTTAAAAGATGGATTTGTGTTTCTGGGAGCAGCTCAGCAGCCACTGAAAAGATTTTACCATTTTCCACTTGCAATATGGCCTGCTCTGCCCTTACCCCACTTCTATTCTGAGCTCACATCTCATAGACATTCCTAATGATGGGATGGTAATTAAAAGACTCGTTTTCTAATAGGTTTCCAATTATACTTACATAGGAGGGCATAAAGAAATAAAGAGTTCCATAGAGGAGTAGCATGAGAAATACAGCCCAGAGAATGGCAGAGAAGCTGGTGAAATCGATCTGAGGAAAAATAAAAGAAGACACTCAATTAAAGAATATGCAAAAAGCACCGTACTTAGAGAAACTGCTGATCGGTCTCTCTCCCGCTCCAGTCCAGCCTCCATTCAGCTTTCAGAGCAGTCTACTATGTCACCCTTCTATTTAATCAACTCCAGTGGCCCTCTAGAGTTATGACCCAGAAGCCTAACAGTGGACATTGTCAGAGCATCTTACGGTTAGCCAATAAAAAAAAAATCACTTCCCTTCCATTCTCTCATGCAATCTTCACAACAATCCTGTGACATAGGGAGAGAAAAGACTGTTGGCTCTGCTTTGCAGAGGGGAAAATGGTTCTTTCCTCTATAGCATGCTGCCTGAAATCTACCCATTTGCAGACAAGCATACTGGTCTACAAAGTGGCCTAAAAAATCATTTAGGACCACTCAAAAGAATTATTAGTACTAATAACTCAGACCTGACCAATCAGAATAAAACAGAGAATGCCTAAATACGAAATAGTCTAAAACTATCAAAACAAAGTTTTTATAACCACTTTGTAATACAGTCATTATATTGCTTATTTTTCTGAATTCAGCTGAAAATTCTCTTATGGCTACAGCACCAACAGTCCTTTTTTCAAAGTATTGATGTGAAAAATGCTCTACCGTTAGCTACTGCCACTAGATTCTACTCTTGGGTCAGGCCTCTGGCCATTTATAAGTGGCATGCCTTTGAGCAGATGGGCAAATTTTCTGCATGTAAGCACATGTATAATATAGTACATTTTTTAATGCTATGGATTGAACTGGTAAATTTGAAAACATCCTACATCTGAACGTGGATTCTAATTTCTAACTTTTAATGAAGTATGTTGGATAATAACGTAGTCTTCAACACCTCCTCATGCTTCTTCTCCCTATTCCCATCACGGAAAGGATTTGTGTCAGAGTCTGTTTACAGAGTGACCTCACTAATGTCTATAGTAAGCAGCTGAGAAAGCAGACCTATTCCTTGTGGACAGGATGCGCGTCACTAGAAAGAAGTAGGTAGACAAAGTCTCTGTCTTCATGGTTCGCTAAAAGAGAATTTGGTCAACACAGACTTGGGAGTCTCTTGGTGCAACAGATGGAGAACAGATCTTGGAACCCACTTGATCCAGGCTTGAACAGATCTGGACCTGGGTTCTAATCCTATCTCTGACACATGGCAAGGGAAAAAAATCTCCCCCAATATTGCCTTAAACAATTTTGGGAAAGGGAAAAAAAAAACTTTATAAACGGTTTGGAAGTATCTTTAAAAAGGGTTTGGAAGATCCTAAGGAAGCACATTCATTCCTAACAATCTTGCTACTCTTACATTTTGATAATTAATCAATCAATCAAGAAGTATTTATTAAGCATCGGCTCAGACTACGTCTCAAATGTTCTACTGAGACCTAAGGATACAAAGAAAAGACAAAAGAAGCCGGCCCTGTGCTCATGGAACTCCCATTTAAACCCAGTGTTTCTGAATGGTCCTAATAGCAAACAGATGATCAAATCATACCTACTTTTGTCTGTAGCGCAAACAAAGTGAGGCCCCAGGTCACCAAAGCCGTCCCTCCTATTGCCCACATCACTTCTTCAGCTTGATAGAAACTAAAACCGAAGAAGGTTGATCACTGTTCACATATATCAGCAGAAGCTCACGCTAAGAAAGCAAATACTAGAGATTGCTAGAGAAAGCAAACAAGCCAAGCCTGTGACTTACACAGTTACAGCTCCCAGCAGCAGCCCTTCCACAAGCGTCTGCAAGGAAAGTCAGAACAAAGGGTCAAGTGAGACACCTGAGGTGTGCAACTCTGCAAGGGGTGGCTCGGGAGGGGGAGGATAAGGGCAGTGAAAGCACACGGGAATCTGACGGGAGTTTTGTGGCTAGCATTCATTTCTTATTTTTTTTTTAATTTTTATTAATTTATTTTTAGTTTTCAATAATCACTACTATACAATTTTGAGTTTTAAATTTTTCTCTCCCTCCCTTCCTACCTCCCTCCCCAAGACAGTGTACAATCTGATATAGGTTATACATATACATTCCTATTAAACATATTTTCACATTAGTCATGTTGTAAGGAAGAATTAGAACCAACAGGAGGAACCACAAGAAAAAAGAAACAAAACAAAACAAAACAGAAGGAAAAAAAGAGCAAATAGTGTGCTTCAATCTGCATTCAAACTCCATAGTTCTTTCTCTAAATGTGGATAGCACTTTCCATCATGAGGCCTTTGGAGATGTCTTAGATCTTTGCATTGCTGAGAAGAGCTAAGTCTATCAACATTAGTCAGTGCACAACATGGCTGCTAACTGTGTACAATGTTCTCCTGGTTCTGCTCACTTCATTCAGCATCAGACCATACAAGTCTTTCCAGGTTTTTCTGAAGTCCACCTGCTCATCATTTCTTATAGAATAATGGTATTCCATTACATTCATATACCGCAACTTGTTCAGCCATTCCCCAATTGATGGGCATCCCTTCAATTTCCAAGTCTTGGCCACCACAGAAAGAGTTGCTATAAATATTTTTGTACATGTGGGTCCTTTTCCCATTTTTATGGTCTCTCTGGGATACAGCCCTAGAAGTAAGATCCATTTCTTAGCATGCACTCAGAATACTTAACACTCGGAGTGATTTGAAACATTTCATTCTGACTCACAGATCACAACCAGGAAAACAATATACACAAAGATAACCACACTGCAAAAAGGAAAGAAAAAGAAACAAAAACTGAACTCTGCAATTCCAGTGACCAAGCCTGGCTCCAGAAAAGAACTGAGAAAACACATGTGTCTCTCCCTCCATTGTAGAGGTGGGGGACTATGGGTGTGGAACACTGCACATGCTGTCAGACACTAGCAATGTGTTAGTTCTCCTAGTTTTTCCGCTTCCCTTTTAAAAAACAAATAAAGGATATTATGACTTGACAGAAGTAAGGCTCCCTTCTTTCCCTTCATTTCATCCTTGAAATTTAAAATACTGAGGAGCAGGGAAGAGGAAGTCAACCAAAGCACCTATTCTGACCTACTCCTCCTTCATTTCCATTCTCCCCCTCTTCTCTCTTCCCTTAGGTCAGAGCTTGCCCACTGCGCCATTTCTTTTTTTTTTTTTTCCCTGGTGTGGTAATTGGGTTTAAGTGACTTGTCCAGGGTCACACAGCTAGTAAGTGTCGAGGGTCTGAGGCCAGATTTGAACTCAGGTCCTCCTGATTCCAAGACTGGATCTCTACCCACTGTGCCACCTAGCTGCCTCTACTATGCCACTTCTAAAGAGAACAGGGATAAAGGGATAAGGATCAGAATAGTCTATTCAGAACATCTCATGTCCACCTCTTCAGCTGCAGGGCCCTGTCTCTTCCCAAATTCCTCAACTGGACACTCTCGGTTCCCCCCCTGTGGGTTTATCAACTAGAGGTAGGGTGGGACCAGGGGTATCATCTCCAGTGGAGGTCCACTCTCCTCCCTAAGGTGGCCTTGATATAGACATCAACGGCAGGCCATCCTCCTCTCAGGTGGCTGCTACTCAGTGTCCTCTAAGTCCCAGGAGGTGCCCACAGCCAGGGCACAGGCCACCGGGGTACAGCCCATGGCAGTTGCTGAATCACTATCCTGTGGATATACCAATGGGATGTGTCAATAGAGGAAGCGGCAGGCTATGGCCTGCAGGATATCTGCTTCTCGTGCTCCTGCATACACCAGACACGTGTATGCGAGTGTGTGTGTGAGTGTGTGTGCCAGTGTGTGTTGGGGGGGTTACCTATGTGAAAATGTCACCTGTGCAAACACAGACAAACAGCTCCCAGGGCTTTAAATCTCTAAAGTCCACATGGAGTTTAGGATCCCGGCAGATGGGGCAAGGGCTCCCAGGAATGGTGTTCCTATGAATGCATTTGTCACACCTTTGAGGCTGTGTCAATAGTTGGTCCGGCATATTCAGAAGCCCTATCAAATCAGGTATTCTTCCGTCTCCAAATATTCCCAGAAAAAATCTTGACAGTGGCAAATGAGCAGAAGACTCCACTTCAGAGACAGCTTTTGGTACATAGAACCTGGGGAGAGGGGGTAGCCTGTGCCCACCAAACACCTCTGATGGGTGTCAAGTCCATCAGCCTCCAGAGAGGCCTGGTTAGAATGGAGGTTACCATCTTGTTTGGCTGGGGGAGATTCTCTTTCTTTTTTTTTTCCTAAGGCAATTGGGGTTAAGTGACTTGCCTAGGGTCACACAGCTAGTAAGTGTTATGTGTCTGAGGCCGGATTTGAACTCAGGTCCTCCTGACTCCAGGGCTGGTGCTCTATCCACTGTGCCACCTAGCTGCCCGATTCTCTTTCTTTTTTAAATGTTCCTAATGTAAGATATATGTGAATACCCTTGCAAGATATGCATGCCCTCATGGGTTGTCTGAGTTTATAGACATGTGACTTGTGTGGGGCAGTGATTGATATTTCTGGAATATGGCTCATTCCTCTCTAAAGGAGAGTACATTTTTCACCTTGAGGAAGTAGGAGACGGTTGGTGACTAAGTCTTTGCTACTTCCCTTGCCTATCACTGAGGAGTGCAGGGTTGGATTTGGATCTGACCTCTCAAATACTGCTGGTGCAGGGTAATGAGTCCACTTCAGAACAAAAGTTTCTTTCCTTGTTGCTAGCCCTTAGCTTACTATGCCAGCTGAACTTCTGAGCACCAAATGCTGATTACAGAAAAGACAATCACAAAGAACAAACTGACCCAGGTAAGCTCAGAATTGGGACATGATTTAGACGTTGTGAGAGGTGATACCATAAGCAAATTAGTGCAATACAGAAGAAATGATCTGTCAGATCTTTAGACAGGGGAAGAGTTCATGACCAAACACAAGAAATAGGGAGAGTCACAGGATGTAAAACAGACAATTTTGATTATATAAAATTAAAGTTATTAATTATAATATTATAATTATAATAATTATATTATTATAAAATTAAGTTTTTGCACAAATAAAACCACTGAAGTTAAAATTAGAAGGAAAAAAAGGAAACTAGAGAAAAAAATTACAGCAAATATTTCTGATTTCTAAGTTATATCGGGAACCAAGTCAAATTCACAAGAAAAAAGCCATTCCCCAATTGCTAAATGGTAAAAGGAAATGAATAGGCAGTTTTCAGAGGAAGAAATCCAAGGTATCAATAGCCATATGAAAAAAATGATCTAATTTTAAATATTTATAAAGCACTTACTATGTACAAGGCACTGTGCTAAGGCACTTTATAATTATTATCTTATTTGATCCTCACAACAACCCTGGGAAGTAGGTGCTATTATTATCCCCATTTTACAGATAAGAAAACTGATACAAACAAGGGTTAAGTGACTTGCCCACCTTCACAAAGACAGTAAGTACCTGAGACAAGATTTGAATTTCAGTCTTCCTGACCCCAGGATAGCACCCTATCCACTGTGCCACTTAGCTACTCCTAGAGAAAAACAAGTTAAAACAACGGGGAAACAAATACACTAATGCACTGTTGGTGGAGTTGTGACCTAGTCCTACTATTCTGGAAAGTATTTTAGAAAATTGCTATTAAACTGTGCTTATCCCCTCTGACTGATGCAAACTTCTACTAGCTCTATACCCCAAAAAAATTAAAGAGGAGAAGGATTCATATGTTAAAAATTATTTATTGCAGCTCTTTTTGTGGCAGCAAAAAATTGGAAACTGAGGGAATACCTATCAACTGGAGAATGGTTGAACAAGTTATGGTATATGAATGTGACAGAATACTATTGTGCTATAAGAAATGGTAAAAGGGATGGTTTCAGAAAAACCTGTGGAAGACTTGCATGAACTGAAAAAGTGAAGTGAGCAGAATCAGGAGAACAATTTATATACAATAATAGCAATTTTGTCAAGATAATCAACTCTGAAAGATTTAGTAGCTGATCAACACAATGACCAACCACAATCCCAAAGGTCTCATGATGAAACATGATAACCACCTTCAGATAGAGAGTTGATAGGCTCAAAATACAAAATAAAGAGTATTTTCTTTTCCTTCTTTCTTCCCCCCTTTTTTTTGGACATGGTTAACATAGTAATTTGTTCTGCATGGCTATACACATCATAATTATAATTCTTGCCTTCTCAATGGGTAAGGGAAGGAGAAAAGAGAATTCCAAACAGAAAATAAAATAAAATAGAACTGAATTGTATAAACAAATGAAATAACAAGTGGTGAGTAAAGCCATTTATCCAAACAAAACAACAGAAACTGGAGTTCTACAGATTAGACTATATCAAAAACATATAAGAATGAATGAATTCTTTAAATAGGAGTGAAATAAGGTCTCAACTCAACCAAGAGACAGGCTCCAATCTTACTCAAGAGAAGTCTCTCTCCAGAATCTCTGGGGAGGACAAGCTAGAAATCAGGGACATGTTGAGGAGTCAGCTTCTCCTACATGTCTGCAATTTCCAAAGTCTCTCTAAGTGCCCCTCTCCTAAAGAGCATTTTCTCTGCCAATCTGGAGTCACAACTGCTTCTGCCCAAAGTAAAAACACAGCACAGAATCAGTAGTTTTGAGGTGTATCTGCCTAGGTATTCTACTGGAGAGGCAGGAAACCCTTCAGTTTTAAAAGTGGTTGTATTTTTCAGTCTCACATGACATTTTTTACTATAGCTGCAAGCTGATTATTTTATTTTTTTCTGTATTTCCCCCATCACTTTAACTCACTGGTCTCTTTTCAGAAATTCTTACTTGATCACCAATGACCCTA